ATGTTTACTTCCGTCAATATTTGTATCGGTTCAGATTGGAAAGTAGTCCGTACTACAGTTTTGTCCAGATAAAATTGACCATATAATTAGAGAATATAAGATTCGTATATAATGGACAAAATCTAAAGACACTAATTAGGGAAGCCAGTTCTTATTCTGTGGTAAAGCAGATGTTGATAAGTACTGAAGATTGTAGCCTCTACAAGCGCATAATTGCTAGAATAATAAACATCGTTAAAGCTGACGAAATACTTAGTTCGTATGCGGAGTAAAAGCACATAACGTGCTCTTCTAACCTGTCCTGTGAAGGAATACCTTAATTGGTTGTAATGTAGGGATCTCCAGGATTTTGAACTGAGAATATTGGGACTTTTTAGTCTGTAGGCATGTATGACTAAATAAGTCGTATATGAATCGGGCATGTAATTAGTACTGTGTATTTGTATTTTTAGAAGATATTTCCTACAAGTTCAAAAACAAAACAAAAAAAAATTGAGATCCGTCTGCATATATATTTCAAGAACTGAGTGTTTCTCAAAAACTATGGTAATATCAATAAAGGAGTTGGAATAACTATTTGCGATTCAATAAATAATTTATGAAAGAATTTAAAATTCTCGTTACATTTTGATTACAACCCTTATAAGAGTTTTACTGAAAATATGAAGATCAGTTAAGATTTGTATATAGTTAATAAACCATATATATATATAATTAGTTAAATCTGGCTATATATTAGTTATAAAAACACTCGTATCATCATAATCTGAAATTTCTGTTAGTGAGTTCCTACTAACTAACTCTAGAATTAAAAAAATAAAATAATACAATTTTCGTCTAATGATACTCACTTGATCAAAACGTTGTAAGAACAGCAACAATCTAAACCATGACAGAAACACAGCTATCGAAGCAGCGGAATAATGTATTGTATTGATTCTACCATCAGCATCAAAAACAGGGGTAACCATTATCAATGCTGATATATATAATACCCAAGAGATCAGATTAACTATTTCCAGTATATAATGCAGACGTTGTTGATACATTTGAATTATCTCGCGCAAAGAGTTCAAGGTAATGTAGACAATAATAGCAACCGCGCATACAACAATAGCTGATGATTTTCGAATGCTTTCATAGCATGGAGTATTTAGCAAGATATCTGGAGCTACTGCTGGGAACCAATTGGAATGGTTATGTCCTTCGAATCTGTAAAAATGAACATAAATTCATAAAATTTTTATTTCTATAAAAATTTATTTTTATTTATTTTACATTTGTAAGTAAAAATATAAAAAGTACTTACTCGTTTTTACTGATATTGATTTCTTGTTTATTTGCCGCATTCCGTAATTCAATACCATTCATCATTAAGGACGAATAAATTGTTACAAACAATAAAAATATTGAATATATCAAGAGATTAGTTAGATGAAAATATTTTCCATAAGAGTTCCATTTCATTTGTAAATATTTTTGACTCAATGGATGAGCTAAAAGTTCGACGCGTCCATGGTTGACCATGGTCTTTAAAGCAATTGCAGAAAATTTGATGAAAAGAAAATATTAATATAAGAATTAAAATAAATATATATATTTTTTTAACATAAAGAATTTAGTAATTGAAATAATTATTTATATATTAAATTAAAATGAATAATGAAAAATTGTTAGGAACATGGACGAACGAGACGATTACAGTGCAATATTTACTCCAAAATTTAAACGTTTTAAATTCTCTAACTTTATCTTTTAATGTGCTAACAATTATTTTTAATACAATCACCTTAGACAAGTACAATTAGATTACTGAAGTCATTAAAAAAGTTGTGCAAAACAAAAAAAATTCAAAAAAACTTACATTAACTACACACAATGGCGCCGGTCGCCATTTTGGATCATTAAGTAGTAGCTTACGTTTTTCGATCTCTTCGTGAGATAGTTGGAATGGGTGGAAAGAGTACTTTATCTGTACATATAAATAATTTGAAATAAGATATTAGATTAATGAATTTCTATGTTTATAGATTATTCAGTTATTTTATTAAATAAAATTTTAATGGTAATTATTTAATCTACAATATTTTCAAATTGATAATTATTAAAACGGAGCTAGCGGCAAGAAGTGGGTACTAAGGCGTTTCGTCTATGTTTTGAATTTTGAAAAAAATATGGTTAATATCACAATGATAAAATATAAACTGAAATATAAACAAAAGACTTGTAAATTTTAATTTATTGATGGAGACAATCACTCCATCTGCTTACATTTAATGCTGGTAAAGGTGTTGGGTTACTTTGCAAAACTGGCTCACCAGTGCGTTCATCGATTTTGGCGAACATAAAATGACATTGCAAGAAAGCGAATGAATACTTAATCTACAGTCATAGAAGAATTTAAATTTAATAATGTCAACTTAAAGAAAATATATAGAATTATAAAGAACCTACTATTTGGTTCTTATAAACATATGGAATTAAATAAAAATACATAAATTGATTAATTTGTACAAAAATCATAAATAAAGAGATGATTAGTTGTTATTAACATATATGTTTCAAGATTTTTACTTAATATATTATTTATTTTCAGTAATTAGAAAAAAAACAAAGATTCATTTATATATACCTATTGTGTTAAGCAAGGATTTGAAAATATGTCTCAAGTTGTGAAAAAAATCTTCGCCCCTTTAGGCATAATGTCGCATTCTAAATTTTTGTAATATGTAGTACTAGTATCAAAAAAGTACATTTGTTCTCAATGTACCAGAAAATTTGGGTCTAAAAATAATATTAATAACTACAACTATCCCAATATTCGAAAGAAGGTTTATCAGTATAGGAATAGGTGTAGTATTTTTAAAATAAATTAAATAAATTTAAAAAATGTAATAAATAAATAAAAAAATAAATATTAAATTAGAAAAATAATTAAAAAAATAAATATAAAATAAAAAGTATATATATAAATTAAAATAGTTAAAGGATACAATATTATATAATGTCATATATATATATATTATATATTATTATATAAATATAATATTATTATATTAAAATGTTATAAACACAATATTATATAAATGTGATTAAACACATTGAATCATCCTCTTTATCCTTTTTTACATTTTGTCACAACAAAATCAAACTCACTATAATCCTTTTCGAATGAACTTTACTTCTTAATGTAAAAGTATATCATATTATGAGGATATGGATGTTGTATCCTCTTTTAAATAAGTGCGTATTACAAGAATACGAAACAGTACTGAACGATATACAGTATTCAGTATACTAGTGTATCAAAAACGCACTATCAGAACAGTACACCTAATAGTTTCAAAGTCTTTCGCGAACAACACACTAAAATAGTGCTATACTGTGTCAGACCATCTCATACATAATATTGAATGAATATATTATTTATTCATGAAAGTTGTGTAAACTATAGCGAAGTTATTTTTTAGTTATTTTTTTTTATAAAGACAAACATTTAAACTATAGTGTCCAACTTTATTATACAAAATTTGAAGTGAACTTTTTATAAATGTAGTGTAGTTTTAAGTAAATTTTTTTTGAAAATTAGTGTACTTTTGAATAATCTTTTTAAGAACACAAACACTAAAATATAGCATACTGTATACAACTTTTTTATACTAAATTCGTGATGAACATTTTAATGATAATGATAACTAATAAATCTATTGTGCTTTTTATCGAAATTATCATTAACGTGATATACCAACAATAAAATAATTCAACAATTCAATGATGTTTTAATAAACGTAGTGTACTTTTCAGCAAACGTAGTGTGTTGTATAGTCAAATTTTACGATTACAAACACTAAAATTATTATGTACTATATAAATTTTTATTGAACATTCTAGTGGTCTACTTATGAACATAATGTACTTCTTAGCAAAGTTTTGATGAAGACAGTGCAATTTTCAAGGAACTTTTTATGAATGTAATGAATGTTTTAGTTAAAATTTCACTATTAAAGTGAATTCTAGTGAAAAAGGATAGTGACAGAACAACAAAATACGTTGTGTAACCAGTTTAAGCCATTTTTTTAGTATATTTTTTATTGTTATTCGGCACTATAATTTATTATAGTAAAAAACACTATTTTTTAGCGTTTATTTTTGGTGTTAGGTAAAAAGAATATTTTCGATATGTTTTTAGTCTGTGTTTTTTGTTGATTCGTGTCGAAAACAGAAAAAAAATTATATTTATATATATAATACAAATAGAGGAGATATCAAAACATTACAAAATAAATTATCATAAATTGAGAAGTACATATGTAATGTTGTTAAGTTAATACTTAGAATG